TAGTTCCTTTTAAAACTCATCATTAACAACAAATTTAGAAAAAAAGAAAAAGAACAACATTGTTGTAAGTAACAGTGACAGAGCTAGAGATTTTGTTGCCTGAATCCATGAATTTGCTACTTCTCTTGATATGCAAACAAATAATTTTTAAAAATGTCATATGGGGGGGGGAATTTAAACTGTATGTTTATTTTGAAGGAAGAATTAATTCCAGGATTTTAAAATTTTATTATTAATTTGCTCTTTTTTTTTTTTTTTCTCTCTCAAAACCATTGATAACATAGAGGTCTACTTGATTGCTGTAATGCAGACAGTGTAGAAAGATTTCATAAATGCAAAATAAACATTTATAGGTTTTAAAGGCAAAATAAACATTTATAGCTCAAAAATAGTTTCTAAATGACTTTTATTTAGAAAACTACTAGGAGTCTTTAGAGCAACTATGAGAAAAGTTTGCAATAGTATTACAATATTTGGAATTTTGTTCTGGTGATTGTATTTTAGATTAAACTGTAGAACTTCCAAAGGATTGTCCTTCCACACGTCCTAGCAAAAGCAGAAATAAAACTCTTGAAACTTGAAATAAGTTTCTCTTAACAAAAGAACTCTTTTCTTATTAATGTTACCATGATCATAATTTAGTTGAAATTCATAATTTTCATACAAATGTTCAATGGAATAAAAAGACATAACAAAGATATGTAGCTACTGAAATCTCATGATGATTCCTTTGAATACTTTACAGCAAGTAAAATCTTTTATTATCTTCAATATAATTTAGTATGCTGTTTAGAATCTCATTATTCTTTATGTGCACTGATGATCCACACGACTAACCCCTATAAAATTATGCTTTACGTGAAAAATGTTGCCCAAGGCACACCACCTTCTTGAGCTATGCCTCTGGTAAATAATGAGAATATAATATATAATAAAACAGTGGCAAATAGACAATGCACATCTATTAGGTTTTGTCGCATTTAACATTTTAAAGTCAAGAATATTACTCAATGTTAGGAAATAAAGTGTCGTATAATTTTTTTATTTTAGTTTAAAGTAACGTATTTGCACAAGAAACAATTGTCTAATTTAACAGCATTTAGCTCTGAATGGGAAGGCAAGGAAATTAAAGTAAAAATTAAAAGATTTAGTTAAAAGTTATATTAAACTTTTAAAATCTAATTAAACTGGATCCCATAGTCACATCATTTGGATTTAGATATTTAATATATAATGAACACTTTTGTAATGACCTCTTCCAATGTAACGAGTATTTCCCAGAGCAGAAAGAAAGAAAGAATTGTACTGAGCATCACCAATTTAATATATTTTACTGTGCAATAGTGCAAGATCAACCCAGACCTGGACCATCTAGTAGTTCATACATGGTTGGCGACAACTTCCAAAAGTGACCCGCATTACCAAAAGTATAAACAAGCATTTACACTGACCATCGTCTTTCTAAGACGATGACCTCCACAGAAGATCAAAATCAACTAGAAATGTGTATGGATGTCTTAGAAAGGATTTTTACTTATAATAGTTATATTCATTAGAATTTGTTGTAAAACTTATAAAAGGTCAAGAGGTTAAGTCACTGAATTCTAGTGATATGACCTGGGTTTGATTCGTAGCAAAGCAATTAAGGGCGATTTTGGGCTGCATGGGCGTTTTTGTGGTTTTCTCATGATATGAGCCAGTTTTCCTTAGGAAGTTCTCTACGAAGACATCCCTTCTGTAAGGCAGACAGTCTTCGTGCACTTTGCCATAATCAAATAAACCAAACTAAGGAAACTTCTTCATTTTACTGTCTGAACTGTGCACCAAATAAATAATACGTGGGAGCTTTTCGTATTTAGGAGCTAAAACATTTCAGAAAGGAAAATTAAATGAATTTAACAATTTAACCTGATTTTTCAGAATTTCAACACCTTGGAGATCATAAAAATCAATGCTACAGTCAAAAGTCATTAATTTGGACACCCATAATCCGGAATGATCTATAAAACGGACCTCAAAGCTACAAACATTCTGCGCATGCATCACCTTGACACATGCACATAAGACCTTTACGTTTACGCATACGCGTTTAATGTATAATGCATGGTATAAGCTAAGCTAAAATTATCTCATTCAGTTAATGTTGCAGATTGCGTTGTTCCTTAATCTTCGAATTGGATTCGGCTTATTATTTTTTCCAGACTGTTAGAGCAATTTTATAAAAGTAAGCTTGAACTTTCGATTATGTCTAATAGAATTTCCGATATATATTTACTAATATGTAAAGGATCTACAAAGCGAAAGTATGTTTCAAAGTCCATCAACCAAAAAGTGGAATTGCTGCCAAAAATGGATAAAGGCATATCCTTTATTTATCTAACTATTCCGAAATCTGTTTATCAATTTCACGCTCTGCGGCGGGGGGACACCACGGCGCGCAATAAATTGGAAGTTGATCTGTCAGCACTATCCTTATCTTCAGGGCAGATGTTTTTATTTTATTTGGCTTATAATTCCTTACTAAATATGTATTTCATCTCGATGTACTCCGACTTTGATATGATTTAAATCAATTCCTGGTCATATAATTCGCTTTTCGCTTCCGATAGCAAAGAAAGTAAAGTAAAAAGATAATTTAGGCTTTTTTTTTTTTTTTTTTGTAAATTTTGATACCCTTTAGATCATAATTGTTCTTTATTTTCTTAAATTACGGTTTCATATTTTTAATTTTATAATTTCTGCATGCCATCTTACCAGATTTAAACTGATGATCCATAATCCGGAATCGCCGAAGTCCCAACGAGTCCAGATTAACGACTTTTGATGGGTCAAAAGTCGTTAATTCGGACACCCATAATCCGGACCTCAAAGCTACAAACTTTCTGTGCGTTTACGTTTGCACGTAAGACCTTTACGACTGCGAACATGCGTGTGCACATAAAACGTTTACGCATGCGCGTTTAATGTATAACGGATGGTATAAGCTAAGCTAAAATTATGTAATTCAGTTAATGTTGCAGATTGCATCGTTCCTTAATCTTCGAATTGGATCCGGCTATTATTTTTTTGCAAGACTGTTAGAGCAATTTTAAAGTAAGCTTGAACTTTCAATTATATCAAATAGAATTTCTGATATATATTTGCTAATATGTAAAGGATCTAAAGCGAAAGTATGTTTCGAAATCCGAAATCTGTTTATCAATCTCACGCTGCTCGGCAGGGGAAACGCCGAGCGTGCAATGAATTGGAAGTTGATCTGTCAGCACTATCCTTATCTTCAGGGCAGATGTTTTTATTTGGCTTATAATTCCTTATTAAATGTAGTATTTCATCTCGATGTACTCCGTCTTTGATATGATTTAAAACACGTTCCTTGTCATTATAATTCGCTTCCAATAGTGAAGAAAGTAACAGAGGTTATTGAAAACGAAAAAATTTCGATTGACATATTAGTCGGTATTCTCGACACAGTAATTATAGACGTGAATGCGGAACTTTGTAACTAAACTAAAATTATATCTGTTAATAGAATTAAAGAGAAGTATTATCACATGAAATGAAGCACTTAAAACACTTACATTGAAGAAAGTTTAATAAAGTAAACAAATAATATTAGCTTTTTCTTTTTGTAAATTTTGATACCCTTAGTTCTAATTGTTCTTTATTTCATAAATTACGGTTTCATATTTTTAATTTTGTAATTTCTGCATGCCATCTTACCAGATTTAAACTGATGATCTATAATCTGGAATTGCCGAAGTCCTGACGAGTCCGGATTAACAACTTTTGACTGTATATCTAACAATATTTCTCAAGCACATACATCATGAATGCTTAAAAGACTTTTTCCAACTTCTATATTAAGTATTTAGCTACAGAGCAGTAATTTTTACATGCAATTTTTTTATTCCTATAGTATCTGTAGGAATGTTGTTTCCTACATGATGTTTAATGGAGGACGTGACATATATCGAGGCTGCAGATATTGGCATTTGCATGGGTGTTCAAATGCCTTAGCTCTGGTGGAAGATGAAAGCCTGTCTAGCTATGAAAATGATGTACCGGCTACATGGAACTTTTTTAAACTTCGTCGAAAATGTTTCGTCTGCAGCTCTCTCCCGGGTAGATATCAACCAATCAGACAAAAGTTCTGCTTCTGAAGGATCATGGGTAATTTCCAATTTGGCGATGGTTGGAGCAGTAAGGTCATGGATGGTAGAAAATAGAAGCTGATTTTTATTGATGAAATACATACGTAAAGGGGAGGATAGCTATGTTCAAGACTTAATTTCTTCTGCTTCCGCTGTACTTTTAAATGTGCAGGAAGTGGAAAATAATAATTAAGTCCTGCTTGAAAATTATATAGCTTCCTTCCTTCTATATAGTTTGGAATTGCACAAAAGAGAGGAGCTAAAATTAAAAATACAGCAATTGATCCTCGAGTCAAAGTTTTCGTCATAGCTGACTTTTTTAATTTCTTTTTGTCAAAATACGAATTTTTTTTTTTCATTGTGTAAATAAAATTGGCTTCTATTTCTATATATTTTAATCTATGTAAATTTATTTTACACTTAATTATGCACATGAATAGATAAATAAGAATTCAACGAGTAATATTACTGTTAGTCTATACAAGTTTAACCTTTTAACTGTCATGCCCGAGATTGGTCTTCCAAAATGTCACTCGGGCTAATTTTTTCCGAATATTACTCGGGCTAATTTTTTTTGAGTGCATCGTATTGTTATACCCGAATATATATCATGAGAAGTTTATTTCAGCTTCAATTCAACAGATGGCAGCATTTTACTGAAGGTTTCAAAATATAGAGGTTAAAGTTCAAAGTGTGCAGCATTTTTTTGATTGCAAAGCAAACATTTCATTTTTGGAATAAAAAAATTGACAATTTATGCACCCAAATCATCAAAATAACTTGACAGTTAAAAGTTTAATTTGTGCAAAATTATGATACACATTACATTAATAGAAAAATAAGAGAGAGTTCAGTGAGTATATAATATTGTTTTTATTTTGAGGAATATAAAATGTCCAAAGTGACTGATCGCATTTGAAATACACATTTCAGTTGGATAGTTTTTATCTACAAGTTCCAATAGAAAAATTACAAAACCTGATTTCTAGTTTAGTCTCACTTTCTGTTAACATTAATTATATATTTTATACACATATTCATATTTACTATTTCAGAAGTGACTTCGAAAATTGATTGACCACTCTGAATTATTTGTTTTTTACTAGGTTACAGTATGGCATAAATATGAGTATATTGTAACAATATAGTAAGCAAAATAGACATATATGAATCTGGTTAAAAGATGTATGAAAGTATTACAAAATCAACAAAAGCTTTAGGAGTTTTAATGACAAACATAATCTAATTTTAAATAACTCATTATTATTAACTGCTTTAAATAAGAGTTCTTTGTTGTACACATTTTAAGTTTTTCTCTAAGCGACGAAACAAACAAGAAGGAAGTTATAAAATTCAAAATATGTGCTATTTTGATATAGTGTAGTATTTATGAAAGTACTGAAATATAGTAAAACTTATATGTATTTGACTCGTACTACATTTAGTCTTCCATAACAACAAACAAGTTCAAATGTCAAAAAGAAAATACTGAAATGCTTCCCTAAGAGCGATGCAGCATAAAATTTGAAAACAAATGACTGTTTTGCCAATCTGCATGATAATCGATTACTGTTTAACATTCAAATCTGTTTAGTAAGGGAAAATGGTAACCTAGCTATGCAGACTTCGTGGAAATTTGGGCTCTTAAATGTCCCTTTCAACGTCCAGTCCTGCATAACAGAAACATATATGATAGAGGATTAACCTGCACCTGTATTTTTAAACTGTACTTTTTAATTTTTAGTTTACTTCACCATATACTGTGCACCCTTTTCTTTATGAAGAAACCTTAAAAATATATGTGGGATGCTATTATCTGAAGTCATTCATTTGAACACTTTTCTCAGACTTAAGAACAATGGTATATGGAACTGACAAGCAATAAGGGGAAATGCTTCAAGGCATAAATAATTCTGGAGAGAAAGTGGGTTGTATTCAATGCAGCTGCACACAAAAATGTTACTGCAGCCATCCGAGGGGTATGACTAGCTTTATTTGGTCATGAAACATTTCATCACTTGGCTTATAATTTAAGCTTAAGTAGTTTAATTTATTAGCTTATAATTTAAGATATTTTGCTTTCTTATTTCCATTAATATAAGTATCATCTTGATGAATATAAGTTTATGAAGATAGAGACTAGAATAAGTAATTACTGGAATTTACCTAATATATGCTGTTTAGATACAGGTCTTCTTGCCAGATAAAAAAAACTCGTGTCGCTGAGATAGCTAGTTTCGAGACAAGGGGTATATATAATCTGGCGAAAAACTGCACTTCCCATTTGAATGAATTTATGGAATTAGGAGACAGATATTTTCTATTTTTATAGTCATTTGAAGTGAACATCAATGGCTTTAGTAAATCACATTTGCTTTAGTTGAAATATAGTTGACTTAGTATTCCTTTTAATACTAACTCCTGTCAAGCGAAACAAACACAGTAATGGTTTCAAATGCAGAGTCATTCAATTTTCGAAAGAAAGTAGAAATTGAGCTGCTGATGCATGTTTGGTATTGGTGAAAGTACCATTCATGAGTGTAAAAAAAAATTAAACTACAATAATATGCCAAAGAATAAGTATGCACTTTATAGTACAGGAGTAATAAAATAGCCTCTCCCAGAACAAAGTTTGTGAACTGTGTCTAGTTTGAATTAATTGTAACAAGAAACAACTTATTATTATTTCTCTTAAAGTGAGCAAAATGAAAACTTTAAAGACAACATTGAGTTGATGAAGTTGATTTATGACATGAAAGAATTTAATTCTACGAGAAAAAAAAGAGCATTTCGAAAAGGCTTCCGAACGATTTGGACAACAAACTGATAAGTTTCCAGAAGTATGTTATTGACCTACGAAGGGGAAAAAAAAAATATTTATTGCCACATACTGGATATAGGAATGAAACTCCAGTAATGTTCAATATGATAGCAAATAAAACAAATTATGTGAAATGAACAAAAATAGTTCACATAAAAACAATATGAAAAATCTCCCCTCTTACTATCACTTTAGTCACTGGATGGGAAAAAACTAAAACCCATATTTATTTTGAAAAAATGACTATGGCAAAATGTAATTTCCCAAATGGTGTTTTCATTTATGTTTATGAGAAAGGATGGATAGATGAAAACAGTGTGAAACTGTTTTTAAGAAATTTTTGGCAAAAATGTCCTGTTGCCTTAAAGAATCCACAATGTCTTTTAGTATGGGACATCATCAGATCCACCAACTGGGTAATAGGGAGATTAACTCTTTCGACAATACAGACATGGCAGTTATTCCAGGAAGATTAATCTCATTAGTTAAATTTTTATATGGGAGCATCAATAAAGTTTTCAAAGAACATTTAAAACCACAGTGGAACACATGGATGGTAAGAGATTAAAAAAAATTTTCAAAAAGGAGGCCAAATCTGTTACACTAGTCTAGAAATGTTGTGTGAATGGATAATAAAAGCATGGAATGAAATTAAACCTGACACACTCCAAAAGTCATTTAAAAAGTGTAGTATATTTCAGAATCAACATCGAATGGAACATCATTACTTAATTAATGGATCAGAGTAATCATTCTTTATTTTTAATCTATCATTTTTTATATCTGGCGTACAATACACATTCATAAATTTTGATCTCATTTTTGTATTAAAAGTGTGCAATTATATGGAGAAATATACAATACATCCATACACACAGAAAAATACCAAAATAACATCCCACGGTGCTAAAGATGTCACAAAATATATTTCGAAATTTTGTACTTTTTATAAAATGATGTGAGAAGTGTTATTGCAGTGTTAAGTATGATTGAAATATCCATTCAGTGAAATTGTTCAATCTTTGAAACAATTCAAGCGAAATTCTGCAGATGGTAGGAATGTGATATCCATAATGGTAACTGAATAAATAGGCTGAATGAAAGGTTTAAAGCAGCATATTCCTAAACTTTTCAGTGTAGAAATATGCTGCTTGAAACCTTTCATGACTAGTTAAATACCAAAGATATGGAAGTACTGTTTTAAGTCAACAACACTTTAAAATGACTTATCATGCAGACACAAGGCTTTTCTTTTGTGAAAAGAAATAAATGAGTTACTAATGATTTATGTGAAATAATAAGTTACACACCTTTCAAAAAATGAAATTTCTTTGCTCTTAAGCTTCTATTATTTATAGATATATATCTTTCACTTCTTAAATCATAACACATTTATTACATATGCAACTCATGGAATTTCCCTGCCTTGTGAATTGCGTATAGTTATTTAAAGAATTCTTCTATCTAAAAGATTTGTCATTTGTGCGAATACATGTATTCTTCTTTAAATTGCATTTCAATCTAAATGAGTTATTTCACAACTCACACACATGAGGTTTCTTTGCATTGTGAATAAATATATAACTTTTTAAATGACACATACATCATATATAGATGATGTTTCACTCCTGTGTGAATAAGGATACTGCTTTTTAAATGAAACTTCTGTCTAAAGGATCTGTTACATACCTCACAGACGTGAGACTTTTCTCCAGTATCAAAAACCAGTATATGATATTTAATTTACTCCCTTATCTAAATAACTAATTACGTATATCATATGCATGAAGTTTCTCTCCTATGTGAATATGCATGTTTTTTCAGATGATACTTCATCCTAAATGATTTATTACATACATCACATACGTGAGGTTTCTCTCCTGTGTGAATACGCAGATGCCTGCTTAAAGTAAACTTATGTCTAAATGACTTGTTACATATATCACACACATGAGCCTTCTGTCCTGTATGAATAAGCATATGGTTATTTAACGCAGACTTTTGAACAAACGAAATATTACATACCTCACACACATGAGGTTTCTCTCCTATGTGAATGAGCATATGGCTTTTTAAATGACGTTTCTGAGTAAATGATTTGTTACACATCTCACATGTATGAGGTCTCCCTCCTGTGTGAATAAGCATATGGTTGTCCAAGAAAATCTTCCTCCTAAATGATTTATTACATATATCACATACATGAGGCTTCTCTCCAGCATGAATAAGCATATGATAATTTAAGTCCCACTTATGAACAAATGAAATGTTACATACCTCACACACATGAGGTTTTTCTCCTGTGTGAATAAGCAGATGCATCTTTAATTTACCCTGTGTGCTGAATGCCATGTTACATATCTCACATCGATGAGGTTTCTCTCCTGTGTGAATAAACATATGGGATTTTAAATTATACTTCTGTCTAAATGATTTGTTACATAACTCACACACATGAGGTTTCTCTGTAGTATGAATAAGCGTATGCTTAATTAAAGTACACTTGTGAGTAAATGACATGCTACATAAGTCGCATACATGTGGTTTTTCTCCTCTGTGAATAACGAGATGCCTGTTTAAATCATACTTTGATCTAAATGTCTTGCTACATATATCACAGATATGAGATTTCTCTCCTGTGTGAGTACGTACATGCTTGTTTAAATCACATTTTTTTCTAAATGACTCACTACATACCTCACACACATGAAGTTTTTCTGTAGTATGAATAAGCATATGCTTAGTTAAAGTAGACTTTTGAGTAAATGGCCTGCTACATAACTCGCATATATGTGGTTTTTCTCCTTTGTGAATAAGGAGATGCCTATTTAAATCATATTTTGATCTAAATGTCTTGTTACATATATCACACGTATGAGATTTCTCTCCCATGTGAGCACGTACATGCTTATTTAAATCACATTTTCTTCTAAATGACTTATTACATATCTCACACACATAAGGTTTCTCTGCTGTGTCAGTAATCATATCCTGGTTTAGCTTAGCTTTTGATGTAAACATTTTTTAACATACCTCACACATGAGGTTTCTGTCTTATGTGAATAAGTATATTCTCATTTAAATTCATGCTTTTATCTAACTGACTCATTACCTACCTCACATACATAAGAATCTTCTGTTGCGTGGATAGGCATGAATTATTTTTAAGAAAACTTTAGTTTTTCTTCGTGAGATTTAACGTACCTTCTAGAAAAGAAATTTTTTCCTTCATATAGAAAAATATAAGGTGACAAGTTTGATACACACAACACCTTACAATGTTGTTTGTGTTTTGCACACATTTATTTTAAGCACAGTTGCTGTTGAGTCCTTCACACTAACATTAATTATGTTGCCCAGATGCACAGGGTTAGCATATGTGATATACAAATGGAAAGATTTTCGGGAATACACAATGAAATATTAATGCTGTATTTTGCATAAATATTGTTTCTGGCCTATCATTAATAAAATTTGAATTATGAAACTATGCAATCATGTTATATATGCTACTTTACAGACTGTACAAAATTATGTTTTGCTAGAGTTGTTAGTTATGACTTAACTGACTGAAGAAGGTTACTCATTTAAAACTGGTTATCTGATTCTGCAATTCAATGCCGACGATATGCAAAAAAGTTTGCAGTAGGGACCAAAAAAAAAAAAAAAAAAAGTTTGTAAACAAATATGTTCACTCTCAGTTTCAAAACAAAGAAACTTGATATTAGCTTGTAAAATAACTGGTTCATTCACTGCTTCAAAACACACAGGAATTAAAACTTGCCAAGATCCCCACAGGTGGAAAAGGCCGCGAATACAAAGTGTTACAGTGCTTTTTGTGTTGTAGAAAGATCTACCAATAATTTCGTCGCCAGATTATTCGACACCATGCTTATTTCAAGGGTCGCATTGTTGACATCCTAAATCATATACGCCAAAATAAAATAACATGAAATTTTGATTTTTCTAGAGATGTTCGCTAGAACTCATTAAGAAGTTACTTATTTAAAAGTGGTATATAGTATTTAACTTAACGGTACATAATTTACGAAGCATTTTCCTGTACAGAAAGAGAACTTAATCTTAACAAAACTGCTAAGCCTTTCGTTCAAAACTCAAACCACGGAGTGTAAAGAATTAGATCAAACTCGTAAAGTTAAAATTGTCCTAAACAGATATTCATGCTTAATAAATGACGGGAGGTGCTGTCTGGCCAAAGAATGTCAATACATATTCTTTGGTCTGGCAATTACGTCGGTAAACAGACAGACGTCTTGTTTTGCAACTGCTAAGTCTTTCAGCCCAGATGGATGAAATGCAAAGAAAGCAATGAGATACATTCATGGACCAACGAGATATATACTGGTAGAGAGCTTATTGCAACCTCCAACCGGTTCCAACATTAGTGTCACGTGACTGCTGGTCGAATTCCGAAAGTCCGGAAATACTTTACATTCATTTCTATGGAACGAAAGACGCCTGCTCTGCTTGATCACATAAAATTTAGGAAAAAAATGGTTATGCGCTGCAGCGTCTATGGATGTAAAGAAAGTTTTGTAAAAGGGGGACCTGTAACCTTTCATAGCTAAGTTAAAAACTGCATGATTTATTATTTTATTTCCAGTATTTTTGTCATTTTGCTATCTCTGTTGAATTGGTTTGAAAGTTTCAGCCATATTGTATAAGAAAATTGCCGCTGTATAGGACATTTTCAGCATGTATTAATAGCATCAAAAATGTAATAAATACTGTGACATTATTTACTGGAATCACCTTTTACAAATAATTGCATTTTATGTTCTTTTTCCGTGTACTCAGTTGAAATAGAAAGCTGCGCCAATTGGCACACATACAGATCGTATTTTATTCTCGAGTGTCAAGATGTAGAAACATCTTTTTACTCGACTTCTGATAAAGATCGGGAGGGGGGAGAAAGAGAAGGGTGAAAGGAGTGTGGGAGGCAAAGAGAGTGAGGTCCCCACTAGCGGCGGCGAAAAAAGCGAAGGTGTCAAGTTCAGTGTCGTTATAAGATGTAGCCGCGGGTGGTAAAACTGCAGAGTCAGTTTTGCGTGAATGAGTCAATTAAGGTTGTGAATCCTATGTGGGGAGGATATCACAAGGGTCGCGATGTTTTTCTCTGGGACGCGGGGAGTGTCTAAGAGTGCTAATAAGGCTATTACTGTGGGTTTGTACTGAATAAAAGAAGTTGACCGCTAATCGTTTAATATACTCTTGAATAAGTTCCATTCGAAGGTCTCTGTGGATGTAGATGTTGGGAATATACCAAGGAGCATTGGTCGCCGCTTTTTCGGATGGCCCAAGCTTTCCTTTCCCCATCGATGACGAATAGTTGATAGCTTTGCACTTCGTAATCGATTACGATGTCTCGATACTTTGTTTACGTTTTATGCGGAATTGTGGTAAGGTTGCATATGGAAAATCTTGCGGACATTGATAAGGGCCGCTCTTCATATGCAATTTTTTTTCCTTGCTGTATACGAGAGTGGATGCAGTACGAATAAATCTCTATGCTACAGTCAATTATTTCCATTATTCGAATTAATTCATCGTGAGAACTTTAAAAGTCTTAATAAACAGAAACTTACTCATATTGCTGATACGAAAGTATTGATATGCTTTGTTCAATTCTCTTGTTAATAAAAAACAGCAATTGTGCATGTAATGACAGTAAAAAATAGTGAAAATTTATATATGTCTGTATTGTTGCCTAAGTAGTAATAATGCATGATTATAAAATAAATATTAGAATCTACTGAAGTAATAATTACATATGTTAGAACACAAGAAAAGAATCTGAATTTTTATTTATTTTAGTGACCCGTATTTTTTTTTTTTAATTATGTTCACAGAGTTCTTTTTAAGTTTCCTCCAAACAGCAGATGCGTGTGATGCGTGTCCTAAATTTTGTACTGAACAACACAAAATTATGTTCAAAGAAAAGAAATTCATAAATTCTGCTTTGTCTACGATTGCCAGTTAAAAAAAATCATGTTTTCCATTTCTCCACATCGAAAAATTATACCGGGGGGGGGGGGGGGGGAGACACCACTTCATTTGGCATTTGATGTTTTATATCAATAAAAATCCCATGGTTTTAACCATTGATTCTAATTTTAATCCCTCTTCATTGTTAGCTTTTAAGGAAATTTGCTTCTTATTTGCATTTTGGTCTCTTTCTGTCAATAGTGGTATTAAGGATTTGGTTTTTATCATTTAACCATACTCTCCAGTTTCTTTCTGTTGCTTCTCTTTCCTTACACCCAGTGTGCATGCCGTGCTGAATGCATTATTTCAGATTCAAAATGTATAGACAGAGAACAGTACCAGGACGACAAAAGTGGTAATTTAACAACATAAATAACATTGGTATCAATTATCCCCTCCCTAAGACAACCACTTCCATAGAAAAATTTTTATAGCAGCTGTGTCTGGCTGTCTTACAGACAGTTCATTGTATTTTGTGATTTAAAATTTATTAGCTCGTTATAATACTGATGCAATTTAAAGTTTTTTCTTAGTTAGTTCAAACAACCCATGTTACTGATCAAAAAGTAGTATCTTATGATTTATAGTCATATTATTAAAAATTTCAAAATGGCTTTTGGAAATTTTCTTCCTTTCACAATGATTTGCAGTTTGGCAAAAAATCTTTCACAAGTTGGTCTTACTATGGGCAAAGTATTGAATTTTGTTTCCGAAACGATAACCAGTAATTTTGTTTAGAGTTAAAAATCATTTCTATGGTATATGTACATCTTTTTAGTTTTTAATATACTTCAGAAGTTCTCTTATGCCATAAGGCATGTGTAAAATAAGCTTATTTCCTTGTATTATTATTATTATTAAGCCATTCAGAAGAAGCCTTTCTGACAATTGATCACTGAAACTTATGCTGTACCTTTCTGTTAATTAGAAAATAATTTTGGATAATAAAATAATATATTAGAAAAGTATTATATTATTGAAATATTTTAAAAAATATATTAAATTAATGTATTAGAAATCTCTGTAATTTAAAGCAAGCTTTCGTTCTTCAACTACATGTCCATTTCCGATACCCAAAGGCCTAATTCCCTCATAATAACTTATCTTTTACTCGGTCATTATTCAGCGAAACCTTTCTATTTGAAAATTCTGTATCAGCTTTGTAATAAAGGCCCAAGATACAACCTCCACCACCTGTGAAATGCATAGCTCTCTTTGTACAGGTATCTCTGGACTGTTACTAGTAAGGTACTAAATGGTACGTTACTGGAATGGCAGTAAATAGGCTTCCTTATTCTCTGTTTGTTATTTAGTGTGTGATATATTTTTGTGTATGTGTATTTGGTAGTGTGTACATATATATATAATTATGTCTACCATCGGAAATAAAAATATATGCATTACAAATCTGAGTTATTAAGCACATTAAGGCTGTTTACACCTTTCGTTCCAAAACAGATATTCAAATTAAATACATTAGGCAATTTGTGTTTATCTACATTTGTTTCAATAATAATGTTTTTGTCGGCATTAATTTCTCTAAGTAATTTAAACATGAGGTTGTTTAAGGCCATTTTTTATCCATTCATTTATTGAAATATTTACATTTACTTTTTTTTCCCATTAGATAATCCAAGAATTTTATATATGTTACATTATATGGTATAGGCTTGTATATATGCAATATGATTTTTTTTTAATTTTCCAAAAGAAAAAAAAAATTTATCTTCTATTTGTGATCTCATTATCGGATTGTGTTATAAGGTATTTCTCTTGCCTTCGTAGCATGTCTACATGATCAGCACACTCAGCACATATTCGAGAGGTCCATGGTTCGAGTCGTGGAGAGGGCATTGCTCGTTTTTCACGTTTCTCAGCTTCCAAAAAAATCCTAATGTCTCTACAGTGTCTTCTTCAAAATAAACAAATAATCTGATGGAATTAAAATATTTTGGTCATTAAAACTTTTTAATCACTGCTGTTTACATTTACATTTCTTTTTTCACATAATTTGAAGTTTTCAAGTAGTTTGAAGGTTTTCAAACTATGTTTCAGAAAAATTTTAGATCTCATGCAACTCCTCTGGAGCATCTTCAAGTCAAAGTAAAAATTTAAAACTATTTTTAATATCACTGGACATTCAATAGAATAAAAATATTTCTTTAAGTTTTTGTTACAAAAAATATTAAGCAGATCTGTTTTTATGATTAAATTATAATGAAATAATGATTTTCTTTTCACTTTCTGCATAAAATGCACAAATTTTATATTTCAATTCCTTTTTAACATTTATTTTTCTGAGGATAGAAATGCTTCTCTCTAAAAAGTTACAATTTTAGAGTTTTTTCTGAATTCACAGATTTGACGACAGTTGGATAGAAAAGCCACAATTTTTTAAATGGATGAATAAATACAGCCCTGGCTTTTGTTACGTTTTATGCATTTAATAAATTTCCGCCCCCGACTGTTTATTCTTTAATTCTACCTAACACGATTAATCGATACTTGTTTCTAATATAGAATTTTAGCATCAATTCTACATAATAACATGAGTAATATCTTTTTAATTGAATTTTATCATTATTAACAAAATACTTTGGCATTGTGAACTGAGAATTTTTCGCTTGACTTATATCTTTCAATACTTTAGGAACTGGTCATTGATTTACATCTATAATAAAAGAAATAAATGCTTGTATGAATTTTAACATATTGTTAAAAATGCAATAAACCTCAGCTCCTTTGTTGTATGAATAATGTGAAACTTCCTGTTAAGTATTTTTTTAACATCTTCTATGTAACAGTATAGACTCCATGATTATTCCTTAAAATTGGAAGTATCAGAAATAGATGTAAATATGTATTGTCTTCTGCATTAACTTACTAAAAATAATAAGTGTGAATATCTGAATGGAATTATATGAAAGAGCTACAGGACACTATGTTTTCTCGGTGGTCACTATACTGGAAATATTAAATCAAACAATAAGTGCACGAAAAGATTCAGTAAGAGGATATACTCTCTTCTGTAACAATACATTTGACTGAAGTTGTTCCATATGATATTTCTATACAACATCCCAAAATCTTGGTAAATAACTTTCTAAACCAAGTTTACAGTGGAAAAATGTCGTAGTCATGTAACTGGGCTACCATACATAAAAATTAAGCAGTGTTACAAGTGTTTTTATCTTAACTGCCTGTTACAACCAAATAACTAGATATGAGAAAGAACATGCAGTGTCAGTACAGCTGGATGATCCCTTTTACAGAGTTCCTAATTTGAAAACAAATTAACCTGTAAAACTACCCTTCATACTGGTTTGCTTTAGATTCATTTGGTAAAAAATATGCCATTAAAGTCTGTACCAATCAATCAATAAACCTTGTTACAAGCAAGTTTTTGTTTGCAGGATGCTGTTCATAATTGGTTTTCTTTTGGTGGTATAGCAACAGCGAAGGGAGAAAGATTCCGGGTTATTTAAATTCAACTAACATAGCAAATTCCATTCTTCTGTAACTTTATAATTTGATACAGCTTTATTTTTTCAGAATTTTATTCATACTACTATTTCATCCATTGCAGACAAATTCCACAAGTGCATATTTTAAAATTAATTTCACATTTAAAAAAGTATGATTTGTTTATAAATGATTTGTTATAAAATAAAAAT